AGGGAAAGAATAGTTGCTAGGTCAGAATTTGTCATGTCACTGTAGGTACTTCAGTGGGAAGTCTGGGAACCACATCTTGTGTGTATTAAATTCTAGCTTGAGCAAAACCTTAATGTACTTTGGGCCTTGGGATATGTTAAATTCCAGGCAAACTGCTAAAAAGCTACTGAATCTCCTGATATTTTAGTAATTAGTTTGAAATTACAGTTCAGCTGGAACTGAAAATAAAGGGGGAAAACCCAGCTATAGCCTGTCACAACTTGTTCTGTATGTAGGGGTTACATCCTACAGGTGACATTCAGACTCAGATCGGAATGCTCTATCACACTAATTGACATACAAATGGAGAGCTCATTTTCTTTTTATAAATAGCAATGTTACCTAAAGGGACCTGTCATCAGTGGCCAACTATAGAGGAGTTACACACAGCATCTATGGTTACAAAATAAACTGTTTCGTACCCTCCTCCTCCTGGTCCAAATTATATGACTGCTCACACAGAAAAATGGGGAATTCTATTACCAAGTTACATGGTGGAAGTAAAGCAATTTTGCCCAGCACTGTCACCAGGACACACTACGATTAGATTGCTTGTGGAAAATTTTGCACAGACATCTGCATACTGGTGATTTTTACTATGGAATTGTTTGCTGAAGGTAACTGAAAGACTCATGCTAGGTCCTGAAGCTAGAACAACTATCATTTTTGCTGCCTTCTGGTCCTTAGGTGCATAACTTATGTTTAGTATGAGAGAGGACGAAGTCATAGTATAGTTACCCATTCTGTAATTAGCTGACAAAAGACATCAGCCATTGGTACTACATAATACTTTTAAAAGTGGAAGTTATCTTCCCCCACTAATGCTACTGCTGTCTATAGACAGAAAAGACCATCTCCACTGTCTCATGTTTCTCGCTTCTGTAAAATTCAGGTAAAAACAAGTAACATATGAATCTCTAATGTGGTTTAATTCCAGAACTGTTTATTATAAATTTCTAATGCTGAAAAAAGTATGTGTAAGTAGTAAGTAAAATGGTACATGGCATGTTGAATATGCATTGCTAGAATGAGGCAATATCATAATTGATGTCTTGAGGTTATTAAGATGCTATAATGCTAAATAGGTAATGAAGAAAATGTATCACAGTTGCAATACAAACTGGTTGCTAATTGTGTTAGGACAATAAATGTCAACAGTTGTGTTTTCTTTAAGCAGGCCAAGTTATAAACTGCTATTTCTCTCTTGCATTTCACTAAGTGCTAGTCAAAGTTGATGCAGGATGTTAAATGATGTAAGAACAACTCTAATGAGTCAGACAAAAAGCCCATACAGCTCAGTAACCTGCCTCTCACAGTGACTATAAGCAGATACTAGGGACAAAATGTGAGAATAGACCATGCATTCAGTGATATTTCTTTTTTTTGTTTTTTCCCTATCTAGCAACTTCCAGGCCAGAGGAATGTCTTGTAATCAGTCATTTTCTTTCTTCCATTGATTTTACCAGTGCATGAGAATTTCCCAGGTGACCCTATTCCTGTATCAAGGATCCCATTCATTTCAACATTATATTTTATCCCCATAGATTTTAATCTTCAAAGATAAAATAAGATGCATTTAAAATGTTACAAAACATCCATTATTTTGTATTCACAGAAGTGTACAGCTGGGAGCCACCTGGGGAGATCTCCAAAGCCCCCATCAGTTATGCCTGAGTTGCTGCTGACGAGTGCTCTTCCCATTTTCCAGTGCAAAAATTCCACATCTCTTCAGGTATCCAATCTTGAACTATTCTTAACTATTAAATATTCTAGAGTTGGAAATAGTTGGGAGAAGGAGAGTAAAAGCATGAAGTTAATGGAATGGTTGTACCACCAGTGCCAAATGTCCACTCTAACCATCTACTCAAACTTGGCTTCCACAGTAGTCAACAAAAAAGGCTTCCTCTTCAGTGGTTTTATTATATCCAAGCCAGACTTAGAATATCAGTGTCTTTCTATAAGGTTGGCCTTTAAATTAATCTGGCAAAATCAGGTGCCTCAGATGAACAATATCCACATTCCAACATCCTGAGCCTGTCGTAATATGGGCAACAATTTTTTTGGTTGTTTTTGACCACTTCAACTACTGGAACTTTGCTTTGTCTGAATCCATTTGAAAAAGAAAGGGACAAAGCAATCTAATAGTTTTCTTCTTTCATGGGGCACAAAGTAAATTATTCATTAGGATTATTTGTGTGCACATAGGATGTGGGTTGCTCAAAAAATAGGGTGGACACAATGGTTTTAAATTGTCAGTGGCTGCTGCTTGCATAAATTGAAGCAGAATGCCTGAAATGGATGACACTTTTATTGAAAAGCTGGTGTCACAGAATTCTGGCTCCATATATCCAGATATTAGCATTGCATCATGCAATATTGTAGACTCTGGTTAATTCTGCTTAATTCTACGGATCTGTTTGAGCTCTATCTTCCTTTCTTATTAGTGAATAAGCTCATACTACTTGCATCTTGAAATTTTTCTGTTGAACTTTTCTGTAGTTCTGTAGGAACCAAAGCTGGGAAGGTTTGTAAGGTTCTAGTTTAACACTGAAGATCATGGGGTTTAGTGGCAGGTTGGATTATGATAACTGAATGACAAGATATTCTGTAGCCTAAAGATTTCAGAAATACCAGGTTCAGGATGTGCCCAAGGCCTCTGTGGCTCCGGTTCAGCTTGTCTGAATCCTGGCAGACTCATTTGACAGGCAGGAATTGAAAACAAATCCAGCAGGTGAGCTTGCTTGGTTCCAGTTGTATGTGCTCAGGGAGCATGTACAGTATGTGCTCACTGGTGCACTCTGTGTTGTGTTTTGCCTCTTTGGTTCCAAGAAGTATGGGACTGCAGAATGTGTCATTTTATCTTAGAAGTAGATACCAAGTTTGCTAGCAGAACATATGTGTTCTGTTTTTTTGCTAGAAGCACAATGCAGTGATATAATTTGGAATGTTGAAATCACAGCCAAGATCTTAAAGCTTTTGAAACATCGAGGACAGTATTTCCCTGTAGGTGCTACATGACAGCATTTTGTGTCCATGTTATGATAAAGCCTTTTAATTATACAGATGTGTTCTTCCTCTGCTTTAAGTGCATAAAAGTGCTTCTATCTTCCTTTTACAAAAAAAGCCCACAAACCTTAAATATTTTCTGCAAGAATAAAGGCTGTTATAATTGTTACAGTAGTTTTAAAAAGTCGTAGGAGTAAATAATACCCCTGTGGGCTAAAAAACATTTTTAGGATGAGGTTAAGAGTAGCCCCTTGAAAGCAGATCTAATGCTACTTCAGGAGTTACTACGCTGCTTTTCCTGAAACACATTTTAGGAAAGAACACATGTGCATGAATCCCAATTGTTTAGATGCAAGTTTGGGAACATCCCTTTCAGGACTGGTTTGACATGATTTGTTATACCAAAAGTCTTCTTGACTATCTTCTTGAGAATGTTTTTTGGACATGGTATAAAAGTGTAAAGCTCAATTTTATGCAGTGCTGTAAAAAGCAGACTCAAGAACTTTTGTAATGGTCCTTTTTTCCACTGAAGTGTCTAAGCTATATGCATCAATGTTCTGAGTAATCCCATTTAAAACTTCAGCTTTAACCCAGCTGTCACCACAGCTGGACATAAGATACATATGAGGCTAAATATTCCAGACCCAGGGAATTCTGAGGATTTAATTTTCTATTTTGCAACTGGAGCAGCACATTAATGCAAGTACAAGACAGAAATGTTCACAAAACAGCAAGAATGGGAACCAAACAGGAATAGTTTGGTGGGTGTGGGGTTTTTTTGTTTTCTTCTGGAAACAGCACACTTTTCCTCTTGTGCCACAGGCAACTAATTGCTAGCTTTGTTTTGTACTGGGAAGACCAATACTAGTTAAAGGATCCGTTTCAGGCTGCACTTGTGAGAACCAAAGTGCAACAGGTTTCAAAGTTTTGGCCTATATGGAGCTTATGTTTCAGGCTGCATTTGTTTCTCCATGCCTTCAGTGAGAACCAAAGTGCAAGAGGTTTCAAAGTTTTGGCCTATATGGAGCTTAGCCTATACACAATGAAAATGGTAACTTCCACATGCAAGCTTTAAAATACCTCTGATGGGAACATGACCTCCTGCTATGTCTCATGCTAGAGATCAGTCCAGACTCAGTCGTTCTGATGACCTATTTTTCACTCTGTGAAAAACCTGTATTTCCTGTTTTACTTCCTTCTCAACTTATTTTGAAAGTGTCTCACATTTTTCAGTGTCTGAAGCACCTGATCTGGTGTTTAGAAATGTGTAAGATCAAGTATTATCTGCTAGAAAAAAAAATTTTGTAATGCTAACATTGACTTGCTTATTTTTGTTTACATCATCATAACATTGCATTGCTACAGTTCTAAGTAAACAATTTTCAGCTGACTCTAAACAATGCAAGTTTTCTAGGTAGGTTTTTATTTACTTTTTCCTTCACTTCCCTTGGAAACATAACAAACATAAATACACTGGGAGGAAAAAGATTACATCTTGTCCCATTCTATGTTGAAACTTACTCCAAAGATTCTTAGAAGTTTATAGCAGGATCTTTTTTAGATCTTTTTTCTTCCTATAATGCAGTTAAGTGAAAAAAACTCAAACTTAAACAGTAAAAATAGGTGGCATTAAGGAAACAAGAGTTTTGTAGTTCAGTGTCTATCTTGAATCAGCAGCCCTTCAGGAGGGCCTCATAAACATTTTCTGGGTCTGCTGTAAAATCTCATGGACTAGACACACTAGAAGTCACTACACAAATAATTACATGCTCATGTAAGTCAGGAACAAGTGCTCACTCCAAGTTTTTATTAAAATGCAATACAAGGAAGTGTTTGACCATACTTCTGTATGAGAATCAATCCAGAGAGTTAATGTGTTTACAGGATCATCTGGTTTTACGGTATCCCAGAATCTCAGTCAACCTTTTAGTGTGTACATTCACAGGAATATGGGAGTGAGCAACCACCTCATATTCAGCCAACAACCACTACATCATCATTGATAAACTGGTAAGTTGGAACCTCAAGGTTAAGGGGAGCAGGACCCTTCCTGATTCTGCCAGAGGCATCATAATGGGAGCCATGGCAAGGGCAGTAATAACCACCAAAATCTCCAGAGTTAGCAATGGGAACACAACCAAGATGAGTGCAGACACCCACTAATATGACCCATTCTGGTTTCTTTACTCTGTCTAAGTCATGCTGCGGATCCCTCAGTTTAGACACATCAACTTCTGCTTCCTGTTTAATCTCTGCCTGGGTTCTGTGACGCACAAAGAGGGGCTTCCCTCTCCATTTGAAAGCCATGTTCTTGCCTTCTGGAATGTCAGATAACTTGATCTCAATCTTTGACAATGCTAGCACATCAGCAGAGGCACTCAGGCTGGAAATAAACTGGGTGACAGCATTCTTAGCAGCATATGCAGTTGCTACACATGTTGTTGCAGTCACCAGGTAGGAAAACCCTTTTCTAGCCTCACTGCTGCTTTGAGAGGAGGCGGTGGCATCCAGCACATCCTGACGGCGATAGTCAGAGAAGTCAGGGACAGCAACATCATTATGGACACAACGAACACTGGCAGGTGCTGCAAGGGAAAGAAGACGGAATTTCAAAAAAGAAAACAGTGATGGTTTTGACACAGTGAATTCACAGTCAGAGCTGTTTTTCTGGAAGAGTAAAATGCACCCTGTGTTCTCAAGTGCACATCTCTGCTTTCATGCCCCTCACCTAAGCACCTTCTTGAACAAAACAGACTTTTTCTGCATCTTTCTAACTACAAAATGAAAATCACGAGTGTTGTCAGAGGGAAGTTGGCTTTTAAGTGCCCTCAGTTTTGTAGCCATAAACACGTTATCATAATGTACGTTCCAGTACTTCAGAACTGGGTACATGGAAAAGACAAGTTGCTCCTGGGGAAGATTCCAGTGGACACAAGAGGTACATTTTTCACCATGAGGATAATCAAGCATTGGAATTGTCTCCCAAGGGAAGTGGTGGATTCCCCCACATTGGACAATTTAAAGTCTCAGCTTGACAGGGTGCTAAGCAATCTCATAGGAACTGTAGTATTAACAAAAAAGGTTGGACCAGCTGATCCTTGAGGTTCCTTCCACCCTGACATTCTATGTTTCTATTCAAATAATGTATCGAATAATAACAAAAAAGCACTAAAAGCCAAAACCTCTCAACTAACTCGGGACTCTTCTCCCCCCCCCCG